CAGACAGTCACTATTCCCCTTTCTAGAGAACTAACTTGGAGACTGAGCTGTCATGGGATACATCTGTGTAGAGGTACTAGGGATTCTAGGTTATCTTCATGCATGGTCCTTGGTTGGAGTAGAAGGCTCAGAAAAGACCCATATACCAAGGTTTCTTGGATCTGTCATTCTCCTTGTGGAGATGTTGTCCCATCCAGGTCTTCCTACCTCTACCTTCTTTCGTAAGATTACCTCCTCTGTACCCAAAGTTTGGCTATGAATAGCAGCACCTGCTTTGATATCCTGTCAGGTATAGTCTTCAGAGGCCCTCTGTGGTAGGGTCCTGTCCTATAGCCTGGTATCTCTCACTTCCAATGTCCATCCCATTTGCCATTCTGAGTGAGGATTGATCATCTAAACCAGGGTCCTCCTTCTTGTTTAGCTTCTTGAGCTGTACACATTTCAGTATGTTTACCATGTATTATATGTCTAAAATCCACTTATAAGTGAGGATATGCCATGTGTTTCTTTCAGCTTCTAGGATACCTCAGTCAAGATGAGCATTTCTAGGTCCCACCATTTGCCTGCAAATTTTATAATTTTTATAATACCTGAGCAGTATTCCATTGTGTAAATGTAACACAATTTCTGTGTCCTTTCTTTAGTTGAGGGACATCTGGATTGTTTCCAGATTCTGACTATTACAAATAAAGCTGCTATAAACAAGTTTGAACAAATACCCCTGTTGTATACTTGAGCATGTTTTGGATATATGCTTAGGAGTGCTATAGCTGGATCTTGAATTAAGAGTATTCCTTTTTCTCTGAGAACATGCCAGATTGGTATCCAAAGCGGTTGTTCAAGATTACATTCCCGCCAAAAGTGGAGGAGGGTGCCCCTTTCTCCACATCCTCTCCAGCATGTGTTGTCACTTGAGTTATTGATCTTAGCCATTCTAATGGCTATAAGGTGAAATCTCAGGGTTGTTTTGATTTGCATTTCCCTGATGATTAAGGAAGTTGAATATTGCTTTAAGTGTTTCTCTGCCATTCAATATTCCTCTATTGAGAATTCTGTTTAGCTCCATTCTGTTTACTATATTTGTAATTGGACTACTTGTTTTGTTTAATTTCTTGAGTTCTTTATATATTCTGGATTAGCCCTCTGTCAGCTATCGGGTTGGTGAAGATCCTTTCCTAATCTGTAGGCTGTTGTTTAAGTCTGATGACAGTGTCTTTTGTTTACAAAAACTTTTCAGTTTCATGAGGTCCCATTTATTAATTGTTGCTCTTAAGAGCTTGAGCTGTTGGTGTTCTGTTTAGGAAGTACTCTCTTATGCCAATGAGTTCAAGGCTCTTCCATGTATATGTAGGCTTTTTGTTATTTCTATTGTTATTGAAGTCTAGTTTTAGGCCATGTGGTCTGATAGGATACAAGGGATTATTTCGATCTTCTTGTATCTCTTGAGGCCTGCTTTGTGTCCGAGTATATGGTCAATTTTTGAGAAAGTTCCATGAGGTGCTGAAAAGAAGGTATACTCTTTTGTGTTTGGGTGAAAAGTTCTGTAGACATCTATTAGGTCCATTTGATTTAGGACCTCTGTAATTGTCATTATTCCCCTATTTAGCTTCTGTCTAGATGATCTGTCCCTTGGTGAGAGTAGAGTGTTGAAGTCTCCCAATATTAAAGTGTTGGGATCGATGTGTGGTTTAAGCTTTAATCATATTTCATTTGCAAATGCAGGTGCTCTTGATTTGGGGGCACAGACGTTCAGGGTTGTAGTGTCCTCCTGGTGGATTTTTTCCTTTGATGAGAATGGATTGCCCTTCCTCATCTTTTTTGATTAATTTTGGTTGAAAGTCTATTTTTATCAAGGATATTGGCCTATGGTTTTCTTTTTGTATAGTTTTAATGGGTTTACAAATGACAGCAATGCTGGATTTCTAGAAAGAGTTTTGACAGGCTCCTTCTGCTTCTTTTCCTTTTTTTTCTTATCTTTTCTTTTCATGATAGTTTAGGAAGGATTATTGTAGCTCCTTTTTGAATGTGTGGTAGAATTGTGGTGTGACTTCATGTTAAGCAGACACACCCAAGTGGAGTAGATGATTAGAAATAATCAAATTCAGAGCTGAAATCAATGGATTAGATACAAAGAAAACAATTCAAAGAATCAATGAGACTAAGAGTTGGTTCTTTGAGAAAATCAACAAGATAGACAAATCCTTAGCCAAACTAATAAAAAGGCAGAGAAAAACTATCCAAATCAGCAAAATCAGAAATGAAAATGAGAACATAACAACAGGCATTGAGGAAATCCAAACAATCATTAGGTCTTAATACAAAAGCCTATATGCCATAAAATTTAAAAAGCTAAATAAAATGGACAATTTTCTTGATAGATTCCATTTACCAAAATTAAATCTAGATCAGGTAAATAAATTGAATAGTCCTATATCTCCCAAGGAAATAGAATCAGTCATCAAAAGCCTCCCTTCCTAAAAAAGAAAGCCCAGGGCCAGATGGTTTCAGCGCAGAATTCTACCAGACGTTCAAAGAAGAGCTAACCCCAATTCTCTTCAAATGAACCCACAAAATAGATACAGAAGGAACATTATCAAACTCATTCTAGGAAGCCAGTCACCTTGATACCTAATCCACACAAAGATCCAAGAAAAAAAAAGAACTTCAGACCTATCTCTCTTATGAATATTGGTGCAAAAATACTCAATAAAATACTTGCAAACCACATCCAAGAACACATTAAAGATATCATCCACCATGTCCAGGCTAGAGCAGTAAGAAAACTAAAAGAGATCAAGGGGATACAAGTCAGAAAGGAAGAAGTCAAAGTATCACTATTCACAGGTGATATGATAGTATACATGAGTGGACCCACAAATGCTACCAGAGAACTCGTACAGCTGATGAACACCTTCAGCAAAATTGCTAGATATAAAATTAACTCAAAAAAAATCTAAAGTCTTCCTGTATACAAAAGACAAGTGATCTGAGAAAGAAATTGGGGCAACAACAACCTTCCAATAGTCGCAAATAACATAAAGTATGTCGGTTCAACTCTTAACAAGCAAGGGAAATATCTGTATGAAAAAACTTCAAGTTTCTGAAGAAAGAAATTGAAGAAAATATCAGAAGATGGAATGATTTTCCATGCTTATGGATCAGTAAGAATAACAGCAAAAACGATCATCCTACCAAAAGAAATCTAGAGATTAATGCAAATCCCATCAAAATGACAACACAATTCCTTACAGACCTTGAAAGAAAAATTCTCAACATCAAATTAAAAGAGAATAGTTAAAACAACCCAATACGATAAAGAACTTCTGAAGCTATCTCCATCTTTGATCTAAAGCTATACTATAGAGCAATAGTAATAATAATGGCATAGTAACAGAGAAGCAGACTTGTGGGTCAATAGAATTGAATAAAATACCCAGAAATAAACCCACACACCTACAGACAGGAAGGACTAAGGCCAGAAATTTATACACTGAACCCCCATGGTATGTCCTTCTCCCCCATCAAGCTACTTAAGACCTCCATCCCCTGGTACTACAGCACAGAATCTCCACTTCCACTCTCAAAAGACTACCATATCAGTGTTCTGTCTGAGAGAAAATCCTGCTTTTAGAAATGCCTGTCTGCTCGCTTTTAAGTCCAAGTCAACTGCATCAATCCTGATCTAACAGACACTACAACATGGACTGAGGAAAGCAGAGAATCATAGGTTCATATTTTAAAAGTCTTCATTCAACTAAGCATTTAAATGCAAAAAAATAAATGGGTAGACTTCCGGATGTATAAAATCTAACAACATTAAACCAAGATGTAATAAATTATTAAAACAGACACATAACAACCAAAATAGAAACGGTAACTTAAAAATCTCTCAAATAAAAGAAAAGAAAAGCCTAGGTCTAGAGATTCAGCATAAATTCTACAAGAGTCTCAAACTCACTGCAATACTCCTCAAAGTATTCCACAAAAGGGCAAAGGAAGAAACACTTCCATATTTTTGTTAAGACACCAGCAGTATTATCTTGATTAATAACACAACCTAATATTGTGTTAACTAATTAATAACTCATGTTATAAAGAACTTCTTTACAGGTACTCAGTTATCCATACAAGAGACAAACTCACTCACCTAATACATCATGACTGGAAGCCATGATTACAGACTATTTCAATATCAATGTCAAATATTACTGATTCCCATAACACTGAATTATATAGTACACACTCACATTTCATCTTTTATTTACCTATCGTTGACTGAACGAAAAGTTCAATTGACTTGCTCCACAATCATCTTGATATCCTACTTAAAGTTCATCTCCAAGATTCGTAAGTGTAAACGAGTCCTAGTTTATATCTTGTTGGTTTAAAACCCACACATTATATTCATCACTAACACATTGAGTTGCGGCCCAGGCTTATGAGTACAGTCTGTGTTATAAAATTTATTAATGGAACCACAATTTTGGTTTCACATTCATCTTACCTTATTAATACTAAATCATCTGTGAAAGAAATTACTTTTCTGTTACTGCTGACTGGAGAACAGGCTATTTATTGTCCACAAAAGGATCTTTTTATGGTCTTTTGTCATAAATACAGATTGTATTTTAGGTGAAATGGTTGCTTTGCATATGAGGCCCTAGTCTATATCTTATGTCATTGGACATATTCTATGAAATCATAAAAACTTTGGTTCTTGAACTTGCTATATTTTTACACTATGTACAATTGTATCTTACAGAATTTCATCTCACACTATGAAATCATTTGTTGAAAACCATTCAAATTTAATGTCTTCAAATAAGTGCTTTCTGTCCCCAAATCATGTAATATATACACATACACATTGACAGAACCTTTTTCCATTTTAATTTGTACTTGCAACTATAAGATGAAAATGTTTTATTGGTTTGAGGATAGTAATTACTTACCAATAATATAAGATCCTGATGCTTCCCTTGCTTATGAGTGAGGCTTACCTGGCATGGAAGAAGCCAGTCCATAACAGTTGTTATGTTTCTGTCTTCTTTAGGTCCCATTTCAATTTTGCTCAACAGCGTTTTATGGAGGGCATGGGACACTGCATACACTGCATTCTGTATGGAATAGCTGGGCTCAGAAACGATCACCACATCATTTTCTTCTGGTTTAATCTCTATAGAAATTGGGTATGGGTCATGATTTTCACATAGCAAAGCAGGAGGTGAGCAATCAAACCTGTCAATCCAAAATTCATAGAAGTAAAAATCTCCTGGGTACTGGGAGGCTGTAGAAGACTAGAGATAGTTCATTAAGCCAGGGATAGCTCTTGTTTTCGAATATGAGAAGCTTCCTCTGAAAAAGTTCATCAAGTCATTCCTATTTGATAGGGACTCAAAATAAAATGTGTTGGTTTGCCATGTTCTACACCTTCCTTCTGGTTGAAACTAATTTATTTACCATGTGGAAAAACTTCAGTTACTTATATGACTACAGAATACCTGCACGTTTACCTGTGTATGTTGGTTCAAATTCAGCAAATCAACACCAAAATAGTACCCAAGTTCCAATTCGCTGGCTGTTTTTCTGCAAAGCCACACAGATTTCTTTCTTTCCTTCTTTCCTTTCTTCCTTTTCTTTCTTTCTTCTCTCTCTCTCTCTTTCCTTCATTCCCCCTTCTTCCTCCTCCATCTCTTACTTTTTCTCTTTGCCCATACGTATATGCCTTTATAACAGCAGAGGTGGCCAGATGCTTCTGTACTGAGTCCCCAACACCCTAACAACTAAGCCCAGTGCACCTTACCTACTCAACCCCCAGCGCCCTAAACATTATTTATAGGGTCTTCCCTGCTCGTGCACCCACAGGCCAGCAGAGGACGCCAGAACAATCAATACAAGGTCGTGCACAGCCTCACCCAGGGCGGGGTGCACCCATCTCCCCCAGGAAGCAAGCAGGCCTGGAGGGAGCGGAGGACTGTGCGTCTTTTCCTCCCGCTATCCCCTTGCCTGCGGTTCTGCCCCAGGCACCAGCTGCTCAGGGACTCCAGGCGGATGGATAGAAGTCCAGGAGTGGACAGAGGCAGGGAACCCCAAAATCCCTCCACTCCCCTTCCTCCCCGCCCCCACCCCACGTGTGAGCAGGACTATGAATTCATAACTGCTTGGGATAAGAAGATTGCTGACCTGGGAAAACCGTTCCGGGTAGCAGCGCGTCTCTGGCGGAAGTCCCGCCCCTTATGGCTTCGCTTCCAGATCCGACCCGCAGACTTCCTGGCTTGGAGTCACCGAGGCCGCCCTGCCATCTCCCTGGCCCACAGGGCTGTAAACACAAACCCTCTACTCACAGACAGACCTTTATCCCTTCGTTTCTCACTTCGGAGCTCTTGCTGGTCAAGAAGTCCCAACGGTCCCAAGATGCATTGCGGCAGAGTCCCACCGGCCTGAAAACTACAAACGTGGCTTCGGCGCAAGGAGTTCTGGAATTGTGTGTAAGAACTATAAAAATGGCGTCAAAGGGGCGCGATGCATCCTGGGATTGCTGGTAGTTTCGAGCCTGCGTACCTCCTGTCTGCTGGCTGGACCGTGGCCCCTTAGTCGCCTACAAATCCCAGAATGCCATGCGTGCTGTTCCCAACATTATAAACGGTGGGAGAGGGGAGGCCACTTAGTCCTCCAGGGCTTATGGAGAGACTCAAAACAGGCGCCGCCTCTCTATCCCTGGGTCCAAGGATCGCCTAGATTGATGACGCACTTCCGACCTGGTTTGTTTTCTTCCGCTGGCGTGCCGGGCGGGGGCATGCGCTGTCGCGACGGCGTTTTGGGGGAGACGGGGTCCGCGCGTCCTGCTTTTCGGGAATCTCATCGGGGTCTCGGTATCCCGTAGGACGAGTCTGAGGCTGCGAACATACACGGAGGCATTCTCTACAGCCCCAGAGGGGCGCGAGCTAGCGGTTCTCCCAGGGACTACGTCTCCTAGGGGACCGCGCGGGCAGCCAATATGGTGGCCGTCCGCCTCCTTTTGCGCGCGCCAGCGGTTCTTCCAGGAACTACGTTTCCCAGGATGCCACGCGGGACAACCAATATGGCGGCGTCCCTCCTAATTTTGCGCAAGCTAGCGGCTCTCCCAGGATATCCACAGACACACGCTACCCGCCAAGCCACAGGCAAGAGAACCATAGGGATGCCTCGTAGTCCTCCAGGACGCATAGAGAGACGCAGGACGGGCCCGGCTTCTCTATTTCTAAATCCAGATTCGGCGCGGAATGATCACGCACTTCCGGATCGTTTTGTTTATTTTCCGTCCGTGCACTAGCAGGGGAGTGAGCCATTGCTTCCGCGTTTTCGGGGAGACGGTGACCGCGTCCTCTGCTTTCCGGGCATCTCATGGGGTCCCGGGGGATGGGTCCGAGGCGGCGATGGCGGCCGCGGTGGCGATGAAGGCGGAAGCGGAGGACCCCGGGGACTGTCGGGACCCCGAAACCTCCCCGAAGACGCTTCCGGCGGCTGCACTATGTGGACGTGTCCAGCCCGGAGGAGGCGCTGAGCCGCCGGCGGGAGCTGTGCCGCCTCTGGCTGCGGCCCGAGCGGCCCTCCAAGGAGCAGGTGCTGGAGCTGTTGGTCCTCGAGCAGTTCCTCCGCCTCCTCCCGCGCCGGCTGCGGGACCCCGTGCGCTACCGGCGGCCTGAGAGCGGGGAGGAGGCGGCGGCCTGGGCGCGCCCCCTGTCCCCAGCCTCCCCGTAGGTGAGGACCCCCCAAACCCCGAGACCGCAGGCGAATGAGTCTTCCCGCCGCCGTATCAAGGGATCCGAGAGGGAAGGGCGTATTTTGGGGTGTCAGGGTTGAACAAGAGCCACAGTCCAGGGCCAGGAAAATGCGGCAGGGGTGTGGCTGGTTCCCTTGATTACCGGTTAGCAGTGAGGAGGAGGTAGACGCTGGCGCTCCCCTTGTCTCCCTTCCATCCATTCAGCCCAGTCAAAGCTGCCGGGAGTTGCTGGCTAGCTCAGGCTAGCCCCGAAGCCACGTTTCAGAGTACCCTGAGTCCAGTCGAGGTGACAGGGGACACTTTGTTACTCTGCCACTCGCCTTACGAGCTCCGTGCTGTCAGAAGGGACAGCGAGCACTGAGGTCTTGCGCCCTTCCATGGCACTCCGACTTTCAAGGCCGAAGCTGGATCTCCGATCCGGGGAGATTGGCAGCAGCTGGCCGGGGACCCCCAGAACAGATCATGCAGAGAGAGCACAGAAGACTAAGGGAGCATGGCTGTGCCATGTGAGTGATGCTCCTCTCTGATGCCCTGTGGTTCTGGTGAGCCAGGGTCTCCTCCCGGATGCTGTGATGAAGCATCCTTCCCAGAATGCCCCAGTTCCTGTCCTCCTGCCTCTGGAACTCCTCTTCTTTCCAGAATGCCCCAGTTCCCATTTTCCTCCCCTCCACCTCCCTCTCCCCGTGTGCCCAGGGGAACAATTTTTATACATTGACACCCCACCCCACCCCACCGAGACCTCATGTCCTGACACTGACATTGGAGTCCCAGGCTGGGGCCATTCTCTCTCTGCTCACATTTTCCTATTTCAGGCCTGGAGAACCAAGCTGCCTGGAACCCCAACCTGATCCCAAAGCAGGAGGAGGACTGCAAGGAGGAGGCAAAGCCTGCGCAGGCCTGGGTACAAGGCACACCCCCGTGGACGGACCCCTACAGGGAAGAGGAACTACCTAAAGATGCTGTTCTGCCACTGCCACAGCTCCTGGGTTCTCCAGGAGAGCCAGAGGTGCATGGCCACCTTGCACGTCCCTAGCACACCCAAGGAGGAAGGGCTTTGGAGAAGTGGAGAGCCGGGGCACACAGCCATCTCGAAGGTCCCCTGCGGGGCTAAGGAAGAGGGGATTTGGAGAAGTGACAACTTTGAGGAGGTTGCCACTGCCCCTGCCTTTGCTCAGGATCAGCCGCGCCACTTTTGTGAAGTAGTCCTCACTGGAGAACAAGTTTGCTGTGGGGAGTGGAGCAAGGCTCATTTCCTCCGTCTGCTACTTTGAGTCTGAAAATGACTGGTGAGCCATGCTAATCCCCCTTCCTTTCTTTCCTACTTCCACTTCCTCCTTCATCCCATCATCTCCGTCCTTCCCTTTCTAGCCCCCAACTCTTCTTATAGGAAGTGTTTCCTCCTGATTGCCTTGGAGCAGTTGACTCTGTGTGTTCGCTGAGAGGTCATAGGTGGACTGGACCTTACTGTGGTCACAGATGCAGTCCCTGAACGTGAGCTGTACGTCAGCCCAGTGTGGTGCACAGGCCTGTAATTCTAGCTTGACTTTGAGACCCGTGTGGGGTTCACAGCAAGTTGGAGGCCAGCCTGAACTCTGTGTAGGAAGCTCTTCCCTGACAGAGCAAGGCAGCCTTTAGCACGAGCAGCTGTGCACTGTAGGGAGCCCATGAAAATATTCAAGCCTAAGTCAAAGGACAGCCTTACAACATTAAAAGTGATAGTGCATAGAGGGTTTACCTCAGTAAATAAAGCTAACATTTCCTGTGGGTTTCAGAATTGAAATGGTTTTTATAAACATATAGATCAGTTTTGTTTGGAGGGGGTTTACGGGCAGCTTGGAAAACACTGCTGTTTTTGTCCGTGAGGACAGTGTAAACTAGGTTTTTTCCTTCCTCAGGTGGGTGAGCAAGCACATTAAGAAGCCGATTTGCTCCACAGTCCTCAGCTGAGCAGGCACCCCAGCAACATTTTCCTGGCTGCAGGGTCATGTGACTTTAAATGCAGGTGAGAATAAATGGGCATTGCCTGTTGCTCAGCATTGACAGGTACCCATTGGGCTCCTTTATTTGCAAAGTATAATACCCTGTGAGCAGTTCAGTGATAAAGGGAACTTCCTGGGCTAGAAAAAGAGCTGTGGCTGGGATGTGGCTCAGCAGGTAGACGACTAGCTGAGCTGGTTACCGTCCACCAGCACTGCAGAAGCCCGGCAGGTGCTGCACGCCTGTAAACCCAGCATTGCATGTGGAGCTAAGATTAGAGGCTCAGTTACAGACCGAGATTGAGGGTAGCCAGGCTATGTGAGACCCTGTCTCAAGAAAGAGAAAAAGAACAAGTGAACTGGTACAGTGATGAACAGAGCAAGTAGCAGAAGATGTGATGGACTCAGCCATAGGGTTAGCAGGAGCTGCAGCAGGTCATTGGGCACAGCAGCCTGGCCGGTACAGTGAGGGGTCTTAGGGAGAATCAGTAGTCTTGAGTGCAGGGTGAGCTCATGCTATGACCACCTGTCCATCTCTCTCCCAGCCTGTCCTTAGTTTTTAAGTCAGTTTATTTTATTTATCTCTGTGCATGTGGGTATGCATGCCTGGCCAAGGCCAGAAGAGGGTAAGAGATGCCCAAGAGCTAGAGGTGGTTGTGAGCCACCTGATACCAGTGCTGGGAGCCTAACCTAGTCCTCTGCAAAAGCAGCAAGTGTCTTAACCACTGAGCCATCTCTTTTGTCCACTTTTCTGGGTTTTGATGGGATAAGAAGATAGAAGCATGAAGCCCAGGTTGGTCTGGAGCTCACCATCCTCTCTCAGCTTCTTGTCCTGGAATTAGAAGCCTGCACCTTTATGCCAACCAGCCTTTTTCTTGGATGGTTTCAGGTCCTCATTTTGTGTCCCAGGCCATAGACTGCAGAGAACAGTGAACCTGACTTTAGCCACGTGTCCCTGAGGGTGTACAGACAGAACATTCCCTCTGTCTTTAGCCCAAGGCTAGAGGAGACTCGCCACCCTGCTAGAGCTTTAAGAATCATGCCACAGGTTGCTTTTTAAAACCTGTCCTTCAATAAGGCCCTTTCCCCTTTAGCAAAAGGAAAAGCAAAGAATTCCTCACTGTTTTGTGTCGACTCCTTGGGGCAGAGTCGACCCATCTTCAGTACTTGTTTCAGGGTTTCCCAGCCTGAGGAGTGTGACCCCTCTGTGGGTAAAACGAACATTTCACAAGGGCCACCCAAGTCTACCAGAACACACATTATACTTCACATCAGCAGCAAACTTGCAGTTACAAAGCAGCAATGGGAATAATTTTCTGGGGCACGGCACCACAGCTCGAGGATGGTTGGGACCTACCAGCCCATGTGAAAATTTTCCAGAAAACCAGCCCTGTCATTTATATTCAGCCCTAATAAGAAAAAAAAAAAAAAAAAAGGGCAGTACGGCTCAGTGGTGGAGCATCTACCAAATCTGTAGCAAAGCGCCAGGTTCAATGCTCAGCACCACGAACAAAAAACTAAAAAGAAAATTCTGGGTGGTGAAAGTGGAGCTAAGGTAGTCTCGGGACTCCGTGCTCAGCAGTTTGTAGTCCCTTATCGAGGATCCCCTCACTCTCCCAGCAAATAAGACAGGACGGGACTGTCTGGACATATCCATAGTTGCCGGTGACCCCAGGCAGGAGAAGCAGATGCCCCTAACCCTGCAGACCCTCAGCTGCTGCTGTCATTTGGAAGTTGGGCTTAGGGAGCTAGAGGTTTGCTTTGGTTTGGTTTGGTTTGGTTTGAAAACAGGGTTTATCTGAGTCACTCTGTAGTGCAGGCTGGCCTCAAACCCACAGATATCCCCCTGCCTCCGCCTCCCTGAGCACTGGGATTAAAGCCGTGCAGCCCAGAGTTTTACAGAGTGTTGAGGTTCAGGCTCCCCTTCCTCTTCCTTCCCCCTCTTCCTCTACTCCTCCTTGACTCTTCCTCCTCGACTCCTCTTCCTCTTCTACCACTTTTTCCTTATCCTCCCCTTTTTCCTCTTCTTTCTTCTCCTTGAATCTTCCTCCTTGCCTCCTCCTCAACTGCTCCTCCTCACCATCTCCTCCTTAACTCTTCCTCCTCCTTGACTCCTTGCCTCCTGGTTTTCCTGCCTTGGCCTCCAGAGATGTTTCCCGGAGAGTCAGAAGAAGCCAGAAGAGGCAGATTCTGGCCCTTCCCCATCCCTCAACCTCCTGAGGCCTCAGACTGAGAGGTGACAGTGGAGCCCAGGTGGGGACCAGTCCTTTGTTGGCAGGGAAAGCCTGCTTCTCTCAGCCCTTTGTTGGGTGTCTTCACCTCTAGCTTTATTTGTGTGTGTGTGTGTGTGTGCGCGCGCGCGCGCCCATGACCTGTGTCCACCCAGCTCCGTGCCTGGGTTCCAGGTGCAGGCTGCCATCTCTGGCTCCCCGTGGGTGATTCAGATTCAAACTCCGGTTCCAGTGCTGGTCCAGCAAGTGCATCCCTGGCTGTCCTTTTCCACATCCACCCATCCTGACCTGCCTCCTCCTCTGTGCTTTCCACAACAGAGTGTTCTCGGGTGACATCGAGGTGGACGAGAAGCCAGCCAGCACCCCGTGGGGCAGCAAGATGCCCGTCGGCCAGCTAATGGCGGAATTCAGCAGCAGCGGCACCGGCGGCTGGGTGCACGGCGTCAGCTTCTCAGCCAGCAGGAGCCGCCTGGCCTGGGTCAGCCATGACAGCATGGTGTTCGTGGCCGACGCCTCCAAGAGTGTGCAGTGAGTCCTCGCCTGGCTGGGAGGGTTGGGGTGGGGGGGTACAGTTAGCAATCTGTATACATGCTGGCTCTCCACGGCAGCGAGGGGAAGTGTAGACAGCTGGTGGAGAGGCCCCGGATAGAGCAGTTGGGTCCCACTGAGGATCAATCACCCACCCCCACCCGTCAGGCAGTGCCTGTAGCCTGTAGGCCTGGTCTCTGCCACCCTGATGAAGATGATAGTTGGGAACTGGGAGGATGGCACCTCAGATGCCTGACTGTCTCCCCAATTCTGTGGTCCCCACCAGCCCCCAGGGAGATGGGATGGAGCATGGTGGCCCAGGAGGCGGAGGCAGGAGGTTCCGGAGTTTAAGGCCAGCCCAGTCTCTGTGTGAAAAAACCAGAGCTGAAGCTGCTGCCCCCGCTCAGCATACACACACACACACACACACACACACACACCCACCCTCAGGTCCTTCCCCTGACACCACCCCAAACAGGAGAGGCGCGATCTTCCTCCTGCCTTCGTGCCCCAGGTCTGCAGGGAGAATCCAAGTGGTGCTTTGTCACCAGACTGCAGTGAAGATGGCTCAGTGGCAAGGGAAGAAGCCCGGAGCCCGCTTTCAGGCAACTTGGCACTTGCCCTCCCATTGTCAGCCCCAGGTACGCACTGGGGGTTGGCCTCCACCTGGCCACCCTGTGAGGACACAGACGTGGTTCCTCCCCGCGCTGACTTGACTAGTTCTCTTGTGAAAGGGTCACCATGGCAAAACTGTGCTCTGGGACAGCTTTGCTTGTGTCAAGCTTTTATTTTGTATTTTGTTTGTTTGTATTTTGTTTTGTTTTTAAATTAAATTTTTATTTTTTATATTAATTGTAGTTTATTTTGTAGCCCGGCTCTAGCCCCCTCCCTCCCAATCATCCCTCCCTCCCTCTCCACCAACCCTCCCTCCCTCCTATATCATCCCTCCCTCCCTCCCCATCATCCCTCCCTCACTCATCTCTTCCCTGCTCCTCCCTGAGTCCACTGCTAGGGGAGGTCCTTCTCCCCTTCCATCTGACCCTAGTCTATCAGGTCTCATCAGGACTGGCTGCAGTGTCCTTCTCTGTGGCCTGGCAAGACTTCTCCTCCCTTGAGGGGGTTGGGGGGAGGTCAAAGAGCCAGCCACTGAGGTCATGTCAGAGACCTTGGTGTCAAGCTTTCACCCCTCCACGTGAATACACTCTTACAAGCCAGGCACGGTGGCGCAGGCCCACGATCCCAGCATCCAGGGAGCTGAGGCAGCGGGATCGTGAGTTTGAGGCCAGCCTGGTCCGCAGGGTAGGCCCCTCATGTGACGCTGTCACTGCCTGAGTTTGGTCCTCAGTGTGCGCTTCACATAGGAGGAGAACCATGTGTGACGTGCATTCCCCCTGCACAGGGTGTCGACTGTGAAGACAGAGTTTCTGCCACTGCTCAGTTTTTCCTTCTCAGAGAACAGCATCGTGATCACGGTGAGTGTACGCCCCTTGCAGGGTACCTCCTGTGCTGGGCCCAGGACTTGCCTCACACACCCTCCCCCTCACATACTTCCCCGCAGTGTCCACCCCTTGCTGGGTGCCACCTGCCTGTGCCATTCCCGGAGCGCATTTCCCACACTCCCCTGCACACTCCCGGGTGCAGTATGCCCCTTCTTGGGGTGCCACCTGCCTGTGCCAGTCAAACAAGGGGCATGTGCTTCCCAGAGTCTGCACAGAGAAGGGAGAGAACAGATTCTCACAGTCGTCTACTGACCTATATACCAAACACACAGCATAATGAACTAATAACAACCTGAAATGATAGTGAGTATGTAAAGGCCTTTCTCATGGGCTGCGCTGTGGCCTCAACCCTCGAGGCCAGCCAGGCTGGCATCTGAGGAGAAGGAGGCTGTCTCTGGAAGCTCTGCAGACAGGTTGGCTCATCCTGGTGTCCTGTCTACCCAGCTCTGCAGGCATTTTGGGGTGAAGGCTCTGTAAGGAGTCTCCCTATTTTTTTGTTTCCTTTGGGGTTGTGAATTAGGATGGAACCCAGGACTCCTGAAGGCCGATTTCAAAAGCCAGGAAGGCTCTGGCTGCCCAAGCAGGCTACTCTCAGAGGCCTTGTTGGGGACTGGTTGGCTTCAGCCATGCTCCGGTCACTTCTGAGCTTGGAAGGAGAAAGCAGTTCTTTTTTTGTCCGCATCTGCTGAGCCCTGTTCTGTCCCTAGCAGCCTCATGCTGAGGCTGTGGCCTTTCCTCCTCCCCCTGCTCCCTGTCTTCCTCCTGCTGCCTTCCCTTCCCTCTCTTTCCCCCTCCCTTGCTCTCCTTCTCTCACCTGTATCCCTCTCCCTCCCCTTTCCCTTAATTCTCTGTCCCCCCTCTCTCCTCTCTCCCTTTTCTGCGCCCTCTCCCTTCCCTTTTCTCCCCTTCCCTCTCCTCCTTCCTCTCTCTCTCCCTTTCTCCCACTCTCCCTTCCTCTCTCTTTCTTTCTCCCTTTCTCTCTCCCTCTTTTCTCTCCCTCTCACTCCCTCTCTCCCTTCCTCTCTCTCTTCTTCTCTCCCTCTGTCTCTCTCTCTCTCCATCCCTCTCTCTCTCCCTCCTTTTCTCTCTCCCTCTCCTCTGACACCAGATGGCTGTGAGCCACTGTTTGAGTGCTGGGACTCAAACTCAGGACCTCTGGAAGAGCAGCCAGCACTCTGAACCTCTGAGTCATCCCTGTAGCCCCTCTGACCTTGAACTTGTACCTTCTGTTCTCCACCTTCAGATGGCTAGGACTCTACACAAGCACCAGTAGCCAGTGTATGTGGCTTTGGGGACCTGGCCAGGGCCTGATGTAGTCTCGGGCCTACCCACTGGGCCACATCCCGGGTGCGTGAGCCCTCCCACTCTAGGACAGGGTCTCGTCGTGTGGCCCTGAGGGATCTGGAGCCTAATGTACCCCCAGCCATCTGTCGGTGTGGGGCTTGGGGGAATGGCCTCACTCCCTCCACCGACCTCATGGTCTCGCTCTTCTTTTAGCCAGGTATCCATTTACAATGTGGGCCAGCAGGACAGTCGCAAATCATGCACCACTGGCATCGACAAGACCATGATGATCTGGGATTTCAAGGTTTGTCTCTCCAGTGGCGGTCGGCAGTGCCTGGGTGCAGCCCGGGCCATGCATACACTATCCACTGAGCCGCCCTGCTGCAGTGCCTGGCAGAAGAGCCAGCCCCAGAGTCCCTAAGACAAGGGGAGCACAGCCCCACGGCAGGTGGATGGGTGGTAGCTCCGAGCCGCCCTCGTCCTCAGGAAAGCTTGGTGCCGTGTTGAAGCCAGCAGCCCACACAGCTGTGCACAGACACAGCTTCACAGTTTACACAGTTGGCCGAGGGCTCAGTCCTGGAATGCCCAGATTTGGGAGGCTGAAACAGAGGGATTGCTCTTAGCTTGGTGCCAGTCTGAGCTAGATGATAGAACCTTACCCCCCACACACACCAAAAAATAATGCAATGAGCCGAGAAGATAGAACTTGCACGCGCACACATGCAACACATGCTACAAGTGTGATAATACAAAAAGTAGTATAGGGCCTGGAGTGATGGCTCAGCAGTTAAGAGCACTCGCCTAGGCCTCAGGATTTGGTTCCCGACACCCCCTTGGCAGCTCACAACCAGGTCCATGGAGTCTGATTCTTCCACCTTCCACAGACAGCAGGCACACATGTGGTGTGTGCAAAAATACGTACGTGCCTACATACATACATACATACATGTGTACATACATACGTAAATTAGCTGGGTGGTATAGCATGCCTGTGACCCCAGTACTCGGAGAGGCAGAGGCAGGGGCATCTCTGTGAGTTCAAGGCCAGCCTGGTCTACAGAGCAAGTCCAGGACAGCCAGGGCTGCATAGAGAGACCCTGTCTCAACAAAACAACAAAATGACATAAATAAATCCTGAAATAAAGGTCCAGACTTAGGGACACATGTCTTTAATTCCAGGAGTCAGATAAGGATTGGTCTCTGTGGAGTTGGAGGCAGCCAGGGCCAGGCAGTGAGGGGAAGAAGAAGTGGGAAGGAAGGAAGAAGGGAGGAAGGAAGGAGTGAGGGAAGGAAGGAAAAGAGGGAAGAAAGGGAGAGAGGGAAGGAAGGAAGGAGGGAGGGAGGTAAGGAGGAAGGCTGTGTAGCCAGAGGTGATGTGAGCTTTTGGGGAAGGAGATTCCATGCCCTGAGGCCAGGGAGTACAGCAGTGTGGCAGAGAGCCAAGGTCTCCAGGGCTGACAGCTCTGCTTTCTCCAGACCCTGGAGTCATCCATCTAGGGCCTCCACAGCATGGAGGAGGAGCCACCCACACTAGGACCCGGGCTCCTTAAACGAAGTAACATGTCTTGGACGTAGTAATAGTCACTTAATAAAATACATACTTTAAATATTCAAACTGTATGAGCAGGGGCAGCAGAGAAACCAGCAAAATAGTAGCTGGTCCATTATTACAGTGAGTAATTTTATTATGGATGAGAGAGGAAAAGTGTTCAGAGGCACCTGGAAGAGTTCAGATCAGAGAGAAAAAGAAGCAGACTTGATATGACCAAGACTGTCTCGAAGAAAATAGAGAATATTAGGAGAAAAGTAGAGGTAGCTTAGACAGAGACAAAGTAAGCTTTCATCAATGCACAGGCTGGACCTAGGTCCCCCTTCACTTACGTAGCGGATGTGCAGCTTGGTCAACATGAGGGTCCCCTAACAATTGGACTAAGAGCTTTCACTGACTCTGTTGCTTGCCCTTAGTTCCCTCCCCTAGCTGGGCTATCTTGCCTGTCCTTACTGAGAGAGGATGCTCTTAGTCTTGCCTCATGTCAGGGTGGGTTGGTACACATAGTGAGCCTCTCTGAAGAGAATGAAGTCATGGGGGAGGGAATAATGATGGTGGGACTGTGAGGAGAGAAGGGATGGGTGCCTGTGATGAATATATGAAATTAATTAATTGGTGGAAAGAAAGGGTAATTTCTAGAATATTTAGGAAATTAGGAAGTGCAGAAAGAGATGAGGCTGTTTGGGAAGGCACAGGAATCTAGATGGGTGCTTTGAGGTATCTAACGAGTACATTTACTCCCCCTTCAGGCAACTCGGAAGCCACCATGGGTGTTGATATCCTGATAGGAGCCACAGGTCAGTAGAGAGCAGTATGTTCCTTTTGTCAGAGAAGAAAAATGGTTATTTTGCTGACAAGGACTATTTCACTAATTCTGGATGAATGCTGTTTTTGGTATGTGTGTTTGTTTGTTTGTTTTTGTTGTTGTTTGTTTAAATCACCAGAATTCCTTTGATACTGCGTGTTGAGCAGGTCCAGGACTGATAATTTTTGGATAATTGCACTTCCTGGGACCTAATAATTTTAAACTATTAGGAAAGCCTGATCACACTCTTCACACCTATTATGTCCTTTTAAAAAGTAATGAGTTTAGTTATCACATACTACTATAGAGATTTCCTTATGATGTATTTCTATTTCCCATACTCAAATGTGTCATACTTTTAAAATCATAATTATTTGGCAGAATATCTTTATGAAGAACCTAACAGTCTGGTAGAATTTTGCTATCGTAATGAGAACTGTGTAATTACATGTGTTAATGAAATTACACACTTTGCTGAAGTCAAAAATTATTACTGTCACCAAATACAATAACTGTAAAGACAGGTAATTCTAATTTTGAATGATTTGCCCATGATTATTATATGTCTGAAGTTTGCTACATATTTTATTAATAAATGTACCGAGCATCTCCCATGTTTCAGTTACAATTCTTTGTCTATCTAGGATTAATATATAAAATTTACTATATACTAATAAGCATGCGCACTCCTCTCCACTCTTCCAAGCTTTCTGACTTCTCTGTGCATGAAGCTTTCTGACCATATCTTAGTAAAACACATTCATCTTTAAAGTATTCTATGATTTTTGCATGTGTTAGACACCAAGGTTCACAGTTTTAATAATTTTGTATGCTGCCTTTTTTCACCTGGGCATTTAACAGGTTAAAAAAATAGGAATTGATAATCTTTGGAGATGAATATAAATTTCATGATATTTTTACATTACTGTCTTTTAAATATTATTATTATCATTTATTTCAATTTATTCAAATTATATTGTGGCTGTGGCCCCCTCTCTCATCTCCTCCCAATCCCACTCTCTTTACCTCTTTTCTCTCTACACCCCTCCCCTAGTGCACTGATATGGAAGGTTGTCGTCCCCTTTTATTTGACCCTATACAAGTATTCCTCCTATTTGACCCTATATAAGTATTCCTCCTATTGTTGCGCTGATATGGTTACAGTTATCTGTCCTTCTAGCTAACATCTATCCTCTATCGTCTATATAATATATCTATTACACACATACACACACACAGTTTTGAATATGTTATTTCTTCGAAACACATGTGGTTCAATTTTTTTTTAAATCAATGTCTTAAAGTCAAAATTTGAAATGCATGTCTCCCTTTGTCAGTTTTGGCTTGAGCCTTGGAATGTTGATGTCACAGTGGTTTCTCCCCCTGACTACTACAGAATGTTTACACTTCAGTGGTTCATCTACAAACTGCTGTAGCCATTTTGGTTAGTGCCAGGAAAGAAAAGGATAATTTTGTGCCCAGTGAAAGGTTCTTCATTCCAGGCTCCACTGTAAAGGTATTTTAAAATGATCATTATGATTTTCATGCTAGACTAATGGTTTCAGGAAGTGTTCTGTCTTGATTTCTCGAGAATCTGTGATCTAATTCCTAGCAGTTGTTTCATGAAAAGCTACTCCTGTTATAAATAGTCAGTACCATTCCCCCCAAAAAAACAAAGTTATCATGACAGAGAGGTATGCTCTGAGTTATTATACAAGGGAGTGATTATCCATGTATCTTCAAAACTATATGCCCAAGATATGAGAGATTATTTTTTCTTTCATCTAGTTGTTTTACCCTCTATGCCAACAAAGTTTTGTTGGAAAGTGCTCAGATTTCAGCCCCAAATTTCAACAACTTTCTGGTTTCAAACATATATTTCTCAATATGTGAACACTGATTCAGCTAGATAGGAATGACTTTCCAGACATACTCATTTAGTTACAATTTTATCATGAACTGCATTGGCAATATTTTATAAAATACCTTTACATTACTGCCGGATGCATTTGATGACAACCTTGGCTGATGTCTCTCTTTGACTGTTCAGTTCACAGGGATCTTTAATGCTTCCTAAGTAAAAACTATCGCTTGTCAGTACATATTCCTTGAATGAAATAAAACGTCTTAGGCATGGTTATATTCACTTAATAAAATATATACTTTAAATATTCCAACTGTATGAACAGGAACAGTAGACAAACCAGTAAAATAGTAGCCACTCCATTATTATAGGAATTAATTTTATTATGGGTCAGAGAGGAAAAATGTTCAGAGGCACCTGGAAGAGTTCATAGCACAGAGAAAAAGAAGCAGACTTGATATTACTAAGACTATCTAGAAGAGAATGGAGAATATTAGAAAAGTAAAGATAGCTTAAACAGAGACAAACTTTGCTTTCATAAATGCACAGGCTGGACCTAGGTCCACCTACACATATGTAGCAGATGTGCATCTTGGTCAGCATGTGGGACCCCTAACAATTGGACTGAGGGCTGTCTCTTAACTCTGTTGCTTGCCTTTAGTTTCCTTTCCCCTAGCTGGGTTGTCTTCCCTGTCCTTAGTGAGAGAGGAAGCTCTTAGTCCTACCTCATGTGATGTGTCAGGGTGGGTTGTTACACACAGTGAGCCTCTCTGAAGAAAAAGAGGGGATGGGGGAGGGGAGAATGATGGTGGGACTGTGAGGAGAGAAGGGATGGGGCCTGGGATGAAGATGTGAAATTTATAAATAAGTTAATTAGTGTAAAAAGGGTATTTCTAGACTATTCAGGAAATTAGGATAGTGCAGAAAGAGATGAGGCTCTTTGGGAAGGCACAGGAATCTGGACGTGTGTTTTGAGATGTATAACAAGTCCATTTACTTCCCCTTCAAGGAACCTGGAGGCCACTATGGGTGTTGATATCCTGATAGGAGCTACATGTCAATAGAGAGCCATATGTCCCCTTTGTCAGAGCAAGAAAAATGGCTATTTTGCTGGATCAGAACTTTTGCATAAATTCTTGATGAATGCTGTTTTTGGTAGGTGTGTTTGTTTGGTTTTTGCTTGTTGCTCTCTAATCACCAGAATTCCTTCGAAAATGCATGCTGAGCAGGTCCAGGACTGGCATTTTTGGATATTTGCACTCCCTGGGACCTAAGTAGTTTATACTATTAGGAAAGCATGATTACTTTCTTTACACATATTTATTACTATTTTAAAAATAATGGGGTTAGTAACCACGTGGCACTATAGAGATTTCCTTCTGATGTGTTTTTATTTCCCGTATTCAAATGTGCCATTTTTTAAATCATAATTATTCAGCAGAATATCTTAATGAAGAACCGAACAGTCTGGTAGAGTTTTGCTATCTTAATTAGAAGTGTATAATTACAGATATTAATGAAATTACAGACTGTGCAGAAGGCAAAAATTATTACTGTCACCAAAATACAATCATTTTAAAGACAGACATTCTAATTTTTAATGATTTGTCCATGATTATTTTATGTCCAATGTAAACTACGTTTCTTTATTATGAAACATACAGAGCATCTCCCATGTTTCAGTTACAATTCTTTGTTTCTCTAGGATTAATATATAAAATTTACTATATTCTAATTATCATATGTACTCCTCTCCACTCTTTAAAACTTTCTGACTTCTCTGTGCATGATGCTTTCTGACTATATCTCAGTAAAGCACATTCATCTTTAAAGTATGCTATGATTTTTGCATATGTTAGACTCCAAGGTTCACAGTCTTAATGATTTTGCATGCTACCTCATTTCACATGGATCTTTAGCAGGTTAAAAGAAGTAGGAATTGATAATCTTTAGAGATGAATATAAATTTCACGATGTTTTTTTTTTTACATTGCTGACACATTACTCACTTTTAGTATTCATTTTTATTATCGTTCTTACTTTTTTTTCAAATTTTATTGCAGCTGTGGCTCCCACCCTCATCTCCTCCCAATCCCACCCTCTTCTCTTCTCCCCCTATGCCCCTCCCATAGTGTACTGATAGGGAAGGTCCTCCTCCCTTTCTATTTGACCCTAGTCTATCATGATGTTTTATACAAGTATTCCTTTTATTTTTGCACACATATTATTACACTTATCTATCCTTCTACCTAACATCAATCATCTATTATCTCTATCATATCTTTTATACACACATACACACAAATACGTATGGTTGTAAAAATGTCAATCCAAACATGTGGTTCAAGAATTGTTCAAAATCAGTGTTTTAAAGTCAACAGTTTGAAAGAAGTGAAATGCATGTGTCACATTGTCAGTTATGGCATGAGCCTTGGAATGTTGACATCACAGTGGTTTCTCCCCCTGACTACTACAGAATGTGTACACTTCAGTAGTTCATCTATAAAATGCTGTAGCCGTTTTTGCTTAATACCAGAAAAGAAAAGCTTAATTTGTGCCCAGTGAAAGGTTCTCCATTCCAGGCTCCACTGTAAATGTATTTTGAAATGACTATTATGGTTCTCATCATAGACTGATGATTTCAGGAAGCATGATGTCTTGATTCATTCAGATTATGTAAACCCAGCTTCTTGAAAAGCTACTCATATTACAATTTAGTACCATTCTCCAAAAGAAAGGAAAAAAATACCTGAAGTATGCTTTGAGCTATAAAGGAGAAAGGTGTTTGTATATCTTCAAAACTATATCTGACCAAGTTATGAGTGAGGACTATTCTCTATACCGTCTAATTATGGAACGCATCCTGAATACAAGTATTTGTTATAAGTTTGTATCAGATTTCAACTTTAAAATCTCAAAAGCTCTCTGATTTTCAACAGACTTTCATTGTTTCTGACATATTTTATGTTCTTTGAAACCTAAATCTCAATATTTTGATATAGATTCAGACTAGAGAAGAACTGTTTTCCAAACATGCTCTTTTACTTTCAATTCTGTTATCATGAAACTGAATTGGTACTATTTTTAACATACCCCTTTACATTACATACGTTTCATTTATGCGCATATTGAAGACCATTGGCTGCTGTCTTTCTTTTGACACTTTCATTCATTTCATTGTTTTCTAACTAAAAGCTATGGGATCTCTGTATACATTCCTTGTTTTTAGCAGAGTAATAGTCACTTAAGTACAGATACATTTTAAATGCTCAATTACATGATCTGGATAACAGGAAAAAACACCAAATCTTAGATGATTATAGGGAAGAATTTTATTATGGATAAAAGATGAAAAATGTTCAGAGGATTCTAGAAAAGTTCAGACCTGGGGGGAGAAAAACATTTCATGTGACCAAGCTGTCTATGAGAAAAGAAACAATATTAAGACAGGAAAGTGGAGATAGCTCAGACAAGTAAAGAAACTGCCTTTATATACAGATAGTTTGCTTGAATATTTTAGGAGTTAGCAGAGTGTAGGCTTGTTTGGGAAGTGACAGGAATACAGGTGTGGGTTCTGAGATGTATAACAAGTACTTTTACTTCCCCTTCAGTTGACGTGGAGGCCAGCATTGGTGGTTGATATCCTGATATCACAGGTTGGTGGAGTGCCATATGTCGCTTTTGCCAGAGGCAAGGAAAATGACTTCTCTTGCAAATTGAGCCTGTGTTTTAAAACTATGCACCCTTTGAAATTTAGTATGGATATCAGTCTTGTAATTATCCACTGAATACCTGTTCTTTTAGGTCGAGACCTGTCCCAGGAGAATCCATATTTACCCACATGGAAGCCTATGAGGAAGGAGTTCACCACCGATGGAATATATCGAACCTTGCTATGCCAAGGCTCCATGAAACTCAGAAGAGACAAAACAAGAGAAAAAAAGCTACATCTCTCCTTGTTCAATGATGTTTTGGTTGTTGCTAATAACCTGTGAGTATATCCCTCATGCCTGCCGTAGTATTAGAGGCTACACTTTGATTAGGCTTTACTGTACAAAAATAAAATAGTTTTTTGTCATGTTTTGCTTTATAATTACTTCATTATTTCCCCATTTTATTTCTTATTACCATCCTCCCATGTTCCCTTACTTGGTCTCTTTTAAAATCATAGCTTCTTTTTTTAATTAATAATTGTTACACAAATATATGTGTGTTAAGGTACATATATGTGTGTGGATATATATATATATATATCCCTAACTACATAATCAGCTCAGTCTGTATAATACTAATTGTATATATATTTTCAGGACTGACCATTTGGTATTGATAGCCAATTGGTCTGTTATTCTTATGAGAGGGGTATTTCTCTTACTCTCAAAATTGCACAGCGGCACAGACTTTTTGAAGTAGAGTTGAAGCTTAGTGGACTTTCTTCTGTATACATTTTCACTTTGTTATCACAAATGTTTCAGGCATACTTTAAAAAATGAATTATTTAAAATGTGATGCTGCTGTTTGAGGAAAAAATAGCAATAATCGTGAAAAGGAGAGAGGTGTCAGCAATTATAGTTATTTTGAAGCTAACTTATGAGTATTGGAAGTTTGTGGACTACACTGAAATTTTTTTCAAAAACTATTTAGAATATGAAAGATAAAGTCACTGATTATATTGGTTGCTCAAAGGGGTTCATATATGTAAGCCTCTGAACTCATAACTTCCAAATTAGTGTGAAGAGATGAGAAGCAGACACTATCCCTACACTCATCAGTGGAACTGCTGGTACCACGTAGGTCCTGCTTGGTGATCCTGCAGATGCTAAGGACTGCTGTGATTGAAGCTACATATATGCATTGTTACATATGAGTATGGAGGTGTTTTCTAGGACCACATCACATATAATCTCGAGGGGCCATGATCATAGCCTTCATATTATTCTGAAAGGAATAAAATTGATCCTGACCTCATCAAGTACATATTTTAAGGAGTATTCTCATAAGTATGTAAATAGATTTGAGGACAGACATCAATAAAACAGTCTCAGTTTGTGGCGTAAATTTTCCAGTCATTGAGTAATATTCCTGAAGATCCATTTCATAAATTGTGAAAAAAATGAAAGGAGAGAGTTCTTCTATACATTATAGAGACAACCAAATGCATACATTTTTCTCTCAACACTGAGAGAAAACTCAACCCTCAACATTTTGCTCTCACTGTAAGCTCCCATCCTAGAAAAGGGTGACTTAGTGTCTGACCAGTACAGGCCAGTGAATGGCCCAGCTATCTGTCCATCTTTCTTTTCATTTCTCCTCAGCTCCACTTTAGTCCACAATTGGAAATCCTAATTTTATTTTGAAAGATAGTAATCAACTCATTTGAGATAAAAAAGATACTGATCATTTCCCATCAATGTGTTTGTGAAACAAATGAATTTCACTTTGACTTTTGAAGATAATGGAAACTAAAAAATGTTCGATTTTCTTAAAAGAAAATCTAGTTTGTTCCTCTTTGGAAAATCTATTTTGTTCCTCTTTGGTTGAATTGGAATAGTAATTAAAACTGTTTCGAGATTATCATTTATATTATGAAAAGAGGATTATCAAGCTTATGAGATGGTTGTCATTTTTTCATTTTCAATGTAGATTATTTCTAATAAGAAATATTACAATTAGAAGTTACAGGTTTCATTAAGCATTACTTCCCAATTTTGGTTCATATATGTATATACATATGTGCATATATATATATGTATTATGTATATTCATATATGTATATATACATTCATACGTACACATACATATGCATACATTCACAATGTCTTGAGGGTGGAAAGCAAATGTAAATATGAATATTTTATATATTTGAGGTGTGTGTGTGTGTATATATGTGTATCCTGAAGTATATGTTACATGATATGCTTGTATTTTCACTATAGGATGTTATGTTAGATGGGTGGGAAATCTTTATTTCTTCACATTTTGGATTTTAGAAATATTTACGTGTAGGAATTTTGAATCAGGGTTTATACTTGTCACCTAATTTCTCCTGACTATGAGAGAGTCAGAGTCATTATCTTCAGTTGTGTAGCCACATATTAGCTCACCAGTATCCAGTGAAGAATTCCAAATTCAGGTTTACATAACAAATGCCCCAGAAAATTCTCAGTCCGTCATAAAAATAATACAAAAGAATCACAAATGTGGGAAGGAGAACTCTCAGGAGATAGAAAGGAGAGAGTAAGAAAAATTAATCAGAACACATTACATATGTATATGAAATTCTTAACTAACTTCATATAAATATGTGAAGAAAGAATGAGACTTAGGCTCCCAGGTAATTGTTTTTCAAAAACACTTTTGATAACATCAGAATGTTTGATAAGGTGACATTTGTAATCAGTTGATGAGGTTACTGGAAAAAAGAATCCTCTTTGTGTTACTTGCACATCGTGGGTTCACTGAAGGTGCAACAGCAGTAAGCTGGCATGACTTCTTAGTACAGGGTAAAGGACAATGGAATGTGAATATTATTATGTCAGACAGTATTTCTATAGTATTTATTTTGAAAATGTTATCAAAATTATTTAATAAAATATCTTAACTAGTTTTTGATATGAAATTATGGAAATAAACAATGCAGAAAAGGTTAGTATTCAGTTAAATAGGGTTGGAGAAATATTGAAAGAGATAGCTTTCTAAAAATGCTATGCCTTTAAAATCCATAGTATACTTATGTAACAAAACACTCACTAATCAGAAAAAGACCAGGCTACAGGTATTTGTGACCATCAAAAGTGTGTACTCAGTGACTTCCTTCAACACAAGCTTTGTTGAGATCTGTGTACCATGGCATAAGCTGTGCCTTGATCATAGAGAGGTATGAGTCCTCTGCTTTGGGACAGGAAGAACTTGGTCTTACTACAAGCAATTCCAACTAGAATGAAAAGCAAATTAACAAATACTTGATTTTCTAGGGGGAAGAAAGGTTTAAAATAAGAGTCTATTTCACTGAGTTATTTAGGGATAGATGACTTTGTGGACATATTCAAGACAGACAGCAGCTCTGCTTGCAAGTCCATTCACCTGTTCTGCCCCAAGAAACATCTTGTTGCCACTTTTTGGTAAGACCTACAGCTTGGACCTGTGTTCAGAAAAAGGCTGGCTGTAGAAATTGTGGGTCAGAATAATGCTAACTCACATGGAAAATATAAATCTCTTCACCAGAATATTTACTAAATAAGAATTTATCAGTGTCATTGTATGCAAGCTGCCAACTCAAGTTTTCCACTTCTATGAAGACCCGAGTATGTCTGTACTTTTCATCACACACATTTCTATGTGTAAGTAGGTTCCTTAAGATTTTGATCTGTGATGTTCATCAGGACTCCACAAAATCCTTGGGGTGAAAATGAAGTGCATTGTGTTATATGAAGAATGTGACAGGACCAGGACTTACCTCATTCTTCACATTCCTCACTGCAAAATGACCTGATATTTTCTGTGTTTTTAAAGTATACAAATTGATCTCTCCTCAGTGATATTGTGTAGTATAATTGATTTTGAAAAAAATATCTCCTATACCCTCAAGTTAATTTCCTAAAAGTTGTATTTGATTGTACAGTAACCTTTGGACTGCTCAAGGTCTTAAATGTGTGTGCAGCAGAATATCACTGGTGTCTATATTCAACAGTTGAGGACCAGTGTCATTATACCATCAGAATCACTGATCTGTGCACTGCAGGGAAATTTCAAATTCACATTCTGATCTTTCAGGAGAAGATGTGATCATGGTATACTGAGAATATCTTGAATATGAAGGTTGGGATCACAGGGATTATGTACTGTAAACCTTCTGTTCTACGCAAGTATATACCAGAATTCATGTCTTTCCCACATTAAAATTTCATCACAGGCAACCCCATTCATTCCTCTGTCCATATGTCTAGTCTCATCACAGAGTTGACTCAATTAACACAAGTGCTTGCAAGTTGTATAAACTTCTGGGTTCTGTGACTTTACTCTTTACCTGGAAAAGCATTTCCATAGACTTGATGAAGAAGATCATCTTTGTGTTGTTCTCTCAATATTTTCTGTCCTTTTGTAATATCTCTGAAGATTTTCTATGTTAATTTTTGGTGTTTCTCCCATCTGGAATATGAGAAAATACTGTGTCTAGGGATATATGAAATATTTACTGACATTTCCATTAAACTTTTCTTTTTATGACTGAGTGAAGTTTGGAAGTCCAATTGACACTAGTGCACATTCAATTAAATATGCACCAGGCATTTTCAATAATGCATATAGCCAAATTCCTTTGATGTTTCTATCTTTGTCACTTTTTAATTTGGTGATATTAGATGTGTTATCTGTTTACACTTGCATATTGAGGGCCACAAGCATAATCCACCCTTCTGGTAAGAGTGATTTCAGGCAGAATATAAAGTGGGTTAGCAGTTAATAGTGGAAACATGAAAGGTGAGAGTCTCTTGTCAAGAATCATTCACAAAGAATTTCATTATGGATATGCAGCTCCATTTATGGATGTAGAACCATGACAACAGAGAAGTGAAATGTATCTGAATGTTCCTGGCAACAAGGATCACAATTTTCAGAAATTTGAAATAACTCACATTTTAGCTTATGAATGAAAAACAGTACCTGGCATAGGGCTATAAAATAGTAGAATTAAGAATAGTGGAATGAGTCTTTCAGATGCCCTGTGTGGTAGAATTCTTCCCTGTTCCCTGTTTTCTCCCTCTTCCAATGTCTGTCCCTTTTGCATTTGTGAATGAGGATTGAGCATCTTACCCAGGGTTATCCTTCTTACTTAGCTTCTTTAGGTATATAGATTTTAGTATGTTTACCCTATATATTATGTCTAATATCCACTTACAAGTGAGTATATACTATGTATATCTTTCTCCTTCTGGGATAACTTAGGATGATCTTTCCTAGTTCCTACTATTTGCCTACAAATTTCATGATATCCTTGTTTTTATTGCTGAGTAGTATTCCATTGTGTAAATGTACCACAATTTCTGTATCCATTCCTCCGTTAAGGGACGTCTTGGTTCTTTGCAGATTCTGTCTATTATGAATAAAGCTGCTATAAACATGGTTGAGCAAATTTCCATGTATATTTGAGGATATTTTGGATATATGCCTAAGAGTTGTAAAACTGGATCTTGCAAAGGAGATGCTGAGACTCATAGCCAAACTTTGGGCAAAGTGCATGGAACCTTATGAAAGAAGGGGGAGACAGAAAGACCTGGAGGGGACAGGAGCTCCACAAGGAGAGCAACAGAACCAAAAAATCTGGGCCCAGGTATCTTTTCTGAGACTTCCAAGGAAGGACCATACATGCAGATAGTCTAGAATCGCTGCACAGATGTAGTCCATAGCAGCTCAGTGTCCAAGTGGGTTCCCTAGTATGTAGAACAGGAGCTGTCTCTGAGATGAACTCAGTGTCTGGCTCTTTGATCACCTCCCCCCTGAGGGGTTGTGGGCAGCCTTATGAAGCCACAGAGGAAGACATGCAGCCATTCCTGATGAGACCTGATAGGCTAGAGTCAGATGGAAGGGCAGGAGTTCCTTCTCTATCAGTGGATTCTGGGAGGTGCAGGGGAAGAGATGAAGGAGGGAGGGCATGATTGGGAGGAGATAAGGGAGGAAATTACAACAAGTATACAAAGTGAATAAGTTATAAAGTAAATCAATTAAAATTATTGTAGAAAACAATAGCAAAATGGGTAAGGGTTGTACTTTGGATAAAAAAAATGTTCATCAACAAAATAATGTTGATGGTGATAAGACCCTTTGAATATATCCAATATAACTTGTCTAACTCATTCAACACAATACTTTTCACTTTATGAAATCTTAGTGTGCCACATTCATCTTAAACCATTTTATATTTGAGTGTTACATGCTACAATTAAATACAGGTGGGCTCATTATTAATTAGCACCAAAGGAATTGATCTTATGTTTCACACAGATAAAGCACTAGTTTTCTAGGAACTAATGTCTTTCATGCCAAGTCTCTAATTCATATGAGAAAATAATAATTTTTATCATAAAAGGTGTTTTCCCTGTTTAAGTGTGTGTTCTAACCAAAGGTCATATTCTTTATGTTTGCATTAGTGTGAATAATGAAATAATAATTCCTTTCTATGTGAACAAGACATTCCCACCCAGCATCACCACTATTGTTTAATTCCTATCATGTATGTTTTCCAGGGAAATAACAGATCTAACAGCAGCCCAGTCATGTGAAGAATGCCAGCT